TTGGGCCCGATTTTGGCCCCTGAAAGGTCAAATCATACATTTTTTAGATCTCTGGAACCATTTTTCAACGTTTCATACTTAGTTTTGACATTTTTAAAGTGATTCAGGATGTCTACGCCCACAATCGGACTTTGTTTGAATTTCAAATCATCCAAAAAAATTTTCATGGGCTACGATGCATATTTTTGGACTTCTGGAGCTTCGACGTCCGAAAATAAGGGGGCAATTGATTTTTCATCAAAAAATTATTTTATCGGACATGAATCTCAATACAAAATCAAGTTGGAGACTTCCGAAATTAATATTTGGACCATCCGAACTCTGCTTTCAGCAAACTTATAGTCGAACTGAGCGTCTCAAGAATACGAACCCAATGACACTAAATCCAACCCGATCCGAGCCATAATGGGTCCAAATCAAGGGTAGAAGCGCTTTTAGAAAGTTCAAACCACACATGAGGCCCTTGTCTTTGTCGGACCACCACCTGAGGCCCTCGTCTTTGCCAGACCACCACCTGAGGCCCTCGCCTTCGTTGGACCACCACCTAAGGGCCTGAACTCCGCATACAACACTTGAGGCCATAAACTCCACCAGACCATCAATTGACACCAGAATTCTGCCAAGTCACTATCAGGCTACTAACTGATGCCCCAACTTCCAAGGAACGCCAGATTTAACACTAGCCTTCAACTATACAAATGAAATTTGTAATCTGATCGCCCTCAAGGATGAGTTAGCCCATTGTACTCAACTTAAATTCTAGTGAAATCTTTTCAACTGGGCTAAGCCCCATAGTTTTTCCCATTTCTAAGGTTTTCCACGTAAAAAATATTGTGTTATATGTGTATGAGCTGGATATCTATGCAACGCTAATACATAAAATTACAACACTATTGCCGGATATATTCTAGCCCGCAACAATTCCAATTGATTTAGGTGACTTTAATCCTATTCCTATTTTCAAATATTTAGATTTTGACCGGTGGATGTCCCTCAAAATTGATGTTTTTTAATTTTCTCTCATTTTCTTGAACTTCTAATCAGTATATGGTTCACCAAGGTAGAACATAAAATTTTAATGTAATGTTTACATCCTTACATCAATTGTCATGTAGTTAGTCATCGGTATTTATTTTTAACCCTAACTATCCACCAATTGGTTATTGATATTTAACTTATCATCATTATTTCTTATCTTAAGTCATGTCACAGATAAATTTCAATAATCATTAAAGATTCGTCACCCTTTACCTATTAGCGTAATTCGATCATCAAATATTGGCTACACCAGAGATATCACCACAAACAATCTATAAAAGAAAGTCTGTCGGCTCACTCTCCTTTACAGGGTATTATGTTTTAAGAGTCAATCCATATTAATTATAGTATTGTCAGTCAACATTCCTTGCTTATGCAAATGCCACATTTATCTCCTATCAATCATATAATTGTCATTGCACAAGATAATATCATGTATGAAATGCAACAAATTGCTCAAATCTACAAAAGACAGTAAAATCTATATAATATCATATAACTTCATAAAAACATAACTTCTATTTTACTTGGTGAAATTCATTAATACTACAATCAAAATATACACACTATTCATATCCTTCATAAACAAAAAGTTACAAGATAAAAGTGAAATAAAACAGGAGAAAATACAGTTTTATCAATTTAAAAGAAAATAAATCTATCAATCTCAAAATCATTAAAAATTAAAATAAGATTTGAATTATTTACAACGATCAAAAGAAATCTCTAAATAAAATCAACAGATGAAAATACTACTAAATTGACTTTCTCTCTCTTCCCTTCCTCTTCCTTTTCTTATGTTTCTTCTTCAAGAGCAAGCCGGCGCCCAGTCAATGCTTAAGAAATGCTTATGAATATTTAGGATTATTACAAGATCACCCTCGTGAACGTGATCTCCGCCATCTTTTATTCCCAATGAATTATAACCTCAATGGAATAAAAATTTATTTAAATTTATCTAATTATTATTTTCCCATCTATATGATGTGCACCTTTCTCGTACACAAAAAGCTCAACGCATTCCTCCACTTCAACCATTCAACTCAAGTTAATCCTACCAACAATATCCCCATCTATTTAATGAGCACTTTAAACAATAGACACGAGATTTTCAAAACGCGCACTCTTGTTAATGACATGAGCCGCAAACCCACCACTAAATCTACCGCAATCAAAATTGAAATATATACATTTACTTTTAGATCTACTACCTCTCCGGTTTTAGTTTGGTTGGTGGGCGAGTGGTTGGGGGACTCCCAACTCATGTTCGATTCCCCTCTTATGCGGCTTGACCCTTAAATGGGGAGAAAATAAATGCAGGTCCTTATAAGCGGATCCACCAAGGACTGCCCACCCTCAAAAAAAAAAAATTTAAATATTTAGAGGGGGTATTTTGGAATATTTTGGATATTTTGGGTATTTTCCTCCCCCTCAAAAATATTTTTTGCCCTAATTTTATTAATCCTAAGCATCTTTGTCCATTCCAAAAAAAAATTGTTTTTTGCCCACCCTAAAAAAAGAAGCTGGATTCGCCCCTGCGGGTCCTGTACTTGTGGGATTGGTTGCTAGTAGACTTGCCGAGGGATTAGTTACGCCACCAAGTACCTCCTATAAAGATGGCGGCAAATAAATTCCCCGTTCTAGAAAAAAAAAACTTTTAGATATACTTGAAGAAAAATCTTTTGTTTCTAAAATTGATCTCCATAGTAAGCTCCATAGCTCAAGTTCTTCATCAACTCCCTCTCTCTACTTTTATCAACAATATGAATGCAAATAGCAAAAAAAAAACATATAGCAAGATGAAAATTTATAACTGATAATAACTTTAATTATAAATAATAATAATAATAATCATGAATATAATATTATTACTTATAATTAATATTAATTAAATAACTGCACAATGCATAAAACGTCTAATAATTAAGCCTTTTGGACCCTTTCTTATTTTTTCCATACTATATTTCATCTGCTAATTGACCTATATTATATTTTCTTTTCTTTTTTAATTTTGCCTTATTTATAAATACAAAAAAAATCATATAAGTCAAAACATATGATTATTCTGTATTCATTTAAAAATATAAATACCTCGTACAAGCAGTTTGATCTAATCTAAATATGAAAGACGCTAACTATCTTTATTAACTTTTAATTAAAAATATGCTAACCATCAAACATCAATCCCTAAAAAAAAATAAAAATTCGTGAATGCACCAAATGGTATATTGGACATAGTGAAAGACAAAATAAAAATAAAAATAAAAATAAAAACCTTATATTAATTCATAAATCATATATTGACAAAAAATAAATCAGTATTAATTCCCCAAATAGATAACTGCTAATAGTCAATTATCAATATAGTTAAATATAAAATTAATATTTTAGCACTAATCTTCTAAAATTTTCAAATTTTGGTCAACTGATAACAGTCAAAAAAATTTTATTTCCAGAACTGAAGGACAAACAAACATGGGCGGCTCTTAAACAGTGACAGTGGGAGTAAACAAATTGGTTTCTTTGCTTAAACTTAGTGCATCTCCAACCGAACATCATTCGTCGTTCCATCTGCTCAGTTTAATTCCGAATTTGTTTAAACCAAACATTGGGAAAAAAATATTCTATATGGACCCGGACGGCATCTAAAGATCAATCAGAACGCGCTATGTCATTTTTTTGCTTGGTTCTGATGCTCAATACCACTATGTACTAAGTGATATGTCATGTTTTGTTGATCTCCAGACCATCTGGTGTCCACACAAAATAATTTCTCCAACATTGGGGCTTGTCTTCCATCTCCTTCGTCCTGAACGAGTGGAGCAGCTCTTTCTCCATCTGCTCAGTTCCGTTCGAATCATATTAGAAGTGGAGTTCGAATGGAAATGAATTACTGCTTGATATATTTGTTACTGTTGTTTTTTTAATTTAAGAACAAAAAAAAAGAGGAATCGCTACCTATCCCTCTATCAAAATATTATTATCATTATTATTATTTTCTACCACTAAAGATCCACCGTTGGAATTGAATGCCTGGGCCAGTGCAGTTCGCGGAAGCAGGTAACAATTACATTTTTTTTAAGGAAAATACAGGCAAATGAAGTGGAAAAGAAAAGAAGTTCCTTTCACTTAAGCACTCAAGCCTTTTGCAAGAAACAACAAAAGGGCATTGGCGTGTGGGAGATTCTTAAAAGAAAATGAGAATTTTAATGAACAATAAATCATAAATCATGTTATTCTTTGATCTTATGAATTTTTTGAATAAAAATAAAAAAGAATGGATTTGAACAAACAAAAGCAAGTAAATAATGATCTAAATAAAAATAAAATCTCACCCTTTATTTCATCGACAAGCAAAGGTTCTCAAAAGTATGCTTGATGCTTTGCTTCATTAGCATCTGTAGTATCTTAGAAGGATCCTTCAATGGAGTCTCCACTACTCTTTGGTCGTTAGGAAGGCAAATTATAGGTGCAAACATCAAACAGAAAGAACCGTTCAATTTTCTCTCTATCTATAGTGAAAGCGCATAACTATAGATATGCGCTTTGACTGCGTTATAGTGAAAGTGCAGTTACTGTAGAGATGTACTTTGACTGTGCTTTCACCGGTGTCCGCACCTAATAATTTCTCCATCAGGAAAGAGCCTTTAAAAATAGAGAGTTTCTTTTGACAAACTGAAAGTTAGGTGCAAAGTTTAGTGAGAATGTGAAAGCAATGGGAAAACTTGAAAAAGATAACAACTACTCACCAGTTCTAACTTCAAGTCTTCTACTTCACACAGATCTAATTTATGATCAAGCAACAAAAAAGAATGAATATATGAGAGGAACCAAAGCAGATACTGGCAATCATAACAAGACTACCAAGATCTAACCAAGCTTCTGCTCTTTCTTCAGTAGAAATCAGCCAACAAAATGGCTGAATCCCACAAATAAAAAGTCAATCATAGAAAGAGACAATCAGACAAAAAAACTTAATTTTCTCACTTGAAAAATGTATTTGGACAGGCCCAATTTGCTGGGATAATGCTATTTATGCTTCAAGCTGCGAAACGCTTCAACTGAATAAGTCAAGCTTGGATAACAGAGAATTCCTTCATCTAAATCTAAAAACTATAGAAAAGATGAAAAATATACATACTGTACAGATAACTCTCCCTCTATTTCCATACAGCAATAACATTATAAGACGAAAGAAGCCTTCTTTCAGCAACCAATGCTTATCTTTTCGGCTCCATGACTCAATCTTTGGTTACCTGCAAACTAATCTTTGAAGATGACAGTATCGGCAATGTGCAGCAAAGGGTTGAGACAATCAGGCGAGAACTTTCGAGCAAAGAGGTAGGAATAGGTGGAGTTCGACAGCCGGAGATCGAGGATGAGATCACCGGAGATCTCTGCAGGAAGATAGGTGTGGGGATGTCCATCAACACTATCAGTCCAATTCACTCTGGTAAGAGAATATCGAGTGCAACCATCGGGATCCTGCATATCGAGAAGCGTGGGGAAGTAGTGTTCCTCTGGGTAGCAGGAGGACTCCATCTTCTTCAGGCATGGCATTCGGAACTTCTTCCAGAGTCGACGGTCACGGACAACGAGAAGGGCGTGGCGGCGAGCAAGGACAAAGAACTGGGAACCCACTCGAAATCGTTCGAAGGGGACCTCAGGAAGCATCGCATTGTCTCCTCGAGCGATGTAGCGATTGTGAAGGACAGGATCATCGGCCACTATCTGGATAAAACTGCGGTGTCGGCGGTGAAGGGGAGCTGCAGGGGACGGGACGCCGGGGTCGGAGATGAGCGCGTGGTAAACGTACCGGAAAGAATGGAGAGGTATGCAGTGCTGAGAAATTAGGGCAAAGAAGGCGTTCGCCGGATCATCAAGCAACGCCGCCGCAAGGAGGCGGCGCGCCGCCGCGATAAGAGTAGGAGATGCCCGCTGCGTCGCTTTCGCTGGGATAAAGCGTCCCCGGAATGATTTCGTCGGCGGGAGGACGAGTTCTGCGGCAGGGTCGGCGTGGACGTAGACGTTAAAGAGCCGCTCATGGCCGTGGAAGAAGCGTTCCCAAACGGGGGCGAACGCTATGTCGGAGTTGATCAGGAACAGGAACGCGATCTTGGGAGGAGAAGACAACCGTCGGCGCACCCCGGCACCGCCACCCGCGGCTTCCACGGACGCGAGCGTCGCGCGGCGAAACAGGGCAAGATCATCTGCCTCGTCGGGTTCGGGAATGGCCGGAAGCGTCTTCGGTGGGAGGATCCGGGGCGCGAACAAGAAGATGAAGGGAAGCGAGAGAAGAAGTACGACGGAAACGACGAAGGGCGAGGAGGAGTACATCGCCGAAAACCGCCCGAGATTTACCCAAAAATTTCTCCTTTTTAGGGTTTTCCAACGATTATCCTCGCAATTTTAAGCGAGATTTGGGGATTACGAGACGAATCTCAGAAGCGGAGAAGGAAGAAGCAGTGAAGAGGTTGGACGGGGAAGAGGATTTCTGTGATGCCTGTCATTTTCGAAACCACAAACCCTTTGTTTCTCTATATTTTTTTTTATTTTTCCATTTCGTAAATTTATTTCGAATTAAATAAAAATAGTAAATAAGCATTACTTCCTTTGAGGCCTCCCCTTTTGTTGGTTGGTTCTTTGACTATATAGTTTTCCGCTAGCCTTTGTTGAAGGGCTTCAATCCTATCATCTTTGCTAATTTAGCTATAAATTTTTTTTAGTAGTGTCAAAATGGGTTGATAGGATGAGTTTATATTTGATCTTAAATTGACCCACCTTGAATCCAATTAATTTGAATCTAACTCGTTTAATAAATGGGTCAGCAATACCAATTTGAAGCTGACCTGCTAGCAACCTGAATATTCGAACATGACACGTCTTGGTTTAGAAATTGTTAACTATAAAATTTATAGCATTTACTAAAAAATAATAAGATTAAACTCATGGGAAAAAAATTAAGGAAAATGTATGTTAGACAGATTATTTTTAGGTCAAAAATGAATTCAGGGTCAACACAAGCCCAACCCATTTGATACTTGGGTTAGAAAACCCACGCCAAACCTAACCAGTTGATTAAACATATCAACAAGAACCTAGATTTTCGGATTAGGTTCTGATCAGATTGACGGCGCAGATCAATTTTTTCACACCACTAGTTTTTCTCCTATCCCAATTGTTTCAAAATCATCTTTTATGTATTTAATTGTTTATATATATATAGGCAAGCCAAAGTTTTTCATTAAATAAAACTAAAGTAATGATAAAATGCTATTATAAGTTGAAACCCTATGAAAAAGCTAGAAAAGGACTAAGCCTTTGTTGAGAAGTAAATAGAAGAATCAATTATCTTCTACATTCTACTTTTTTTTTTTTTAATTCTACATTCTACTAACAAATATACTTGTTAATAGAAGATGTTCAGTAAAAGACGAGTGTTTGCTTACAATCATACAACTAAGGTTTAATTTGGGATGACTTTTTTAGCGTTTCAAAGAGAAGTCTTTTAGCCCAAAATTTTTAATTTTTTTGCTACAAAATTTTTTGTTTGTTTGTTTTTTTTTTTTTTTAATATTCTCTCAATTCTTTCCATCCAAGCTTAAGGTCAATATTGAAAATTAAAAAAAAAAAAAAGTTTATAACTATTATTATAAAAAAATAAAATATAAGATAAAAAAAAAACTCACAATTTATAATACCTACTCTTTATATTCTAAAAACGTTTAAAAATTACTTCAATATCAATAAAACAAAATATTTCTTTCTTAATATAAATGACTAAAATATCATTCATCCACTGATCTTCAATTCTATTTCGAAATCAATTTTTTTTATAATAGACATAGTAGAAAAAACTCTTTCAATTTATAGTACAATTATCTTAAAATAAATAGTTAAAAATTTTAATTATAATTTCTTAATGCATTTTATTTTCATATTAAAATTAGAGCCATTTGGGAGATGACTAAAAGGATAAATTTGATAGTACAAGAGTACCCAAAACTATAATGAATAGAAAGAGGCAAAGGGAAGAACCTTATCAAAGATGAGAAGAAGATTGAAAATATCCCCTTAGTTCACCATTAACTATAACTAGTAAGGGTCTTCATCCCTGCAGTTAATAAATCTAGTTCACAAATATAACAGTGAAGTAGGCAAAGGAAGATGATAATGTGCAACTGACTAGCTATCAACATAGATAGGAGAAATTTCAAAGCTTATTATGAACAATAATAGAGAAGAAGTGTTATTATTGCAACAACAATTTAAGTTGTACTTTATATTACATTTTAGTAGAATTCTATGAATTAGCCACAGTGTTGTTCGGTCTTCTCAAAAATAAGCAAAAGAATTATTCGCATGAGAAATTAAAGCCTAGCTCAAGAAGGCGACTCCCCACCATATGACATGATCCATAATAAGAAAAGTGTAGGTCCCTTCTAGCTGGTGAGTACAGATGGTTACCCAGTAAAAACCAAGGTCTAGCGAAAGGTGAGTCCCATTTAAGATAATAACAAGCAAGGCAATGTACAAAAAGGCCTCATTTGAGAAGGTGACTCCAACTTGTATGATAAGATCTGCATTGAGCAGCATGAGAGTACTGTGTGTGGAATCTGATTGTGTTAATCAATCTAGTTATTCAGTTGTCTTAGACCTCAAAGGCTTGTTGTGTTCGCTAGGGGGTGCAGGGGGTTTGCCCTCTACTTGATTTAGGATGCTTTGCATCTGAAAAAAAAAATTTCCCTGTATAACACTCAAGCATTACATACCCGAGTGCCCGGACATTGTGTTCCTGAGCTCCACAGCTCTGAACGACATATAGCAGAACGCCACAGCGATATAGATATGGTGCTGCAGCGGTGCACGACAGAGGCTTGAACATCGCAGTGCTGCAAGACGGACTCGACGGTTTTCTTTCTTGTTTTTCTAAAGGTTGCGTCGCTTGAAGTTATTTTACTTGGCTTTCTCTTGTATTTTGTGTATGCAGACATTGAGAACGGTGCATGTGAGAAGAGATGCAATGAGAGAGTGAGAGATAAGAGAGATCTGTAATTATTTCTCTCAATTTTCATAGTGAATTTCTTAGTTTGGTGTGGCTCCATGATTTTTTCCCTATGTTGGATTTTTTCCACGTTAAATACCGATGTCCTTTAATTTTTCACTGCTTTTACTTTCTTGCTTGTTTCGTCGTTGTGGTGTTTACTCCTCATCATCTCCCCAATAAGTACCTACTATAACTAATTAGCCTATCAAGATAGGGGGAAATTATTGGGTCAAGTCACCGGACATAGCTTACGTTCGGTATTCACAGTATTGAGCTCGGTACTGAGTACCGAGCAGTACTGAGCTCGGTACTAAGCAATACCGAGCTCGGTACTATTTGGTACTACTCAGTACCGAGTATGAGGTGATGTGGCGCATTTTCATTGGGCTCCGAACACATCCGGTGACCTAACCCAATAACTTCCCAGAAAGACTCGTCTAATAAACGGTGAAGACCACCAAAGGCAACATCTTAAAAATAAGATAAGACACTCTTTTCAAAATAGAAATAAACATAGAGGTGTAAATTTTAATTTAATTCTCTCTTTTTCTTGTCAACAGGAATAATACATTTTTATCTAATTCTCTTATCAACAGGAATATTACATTTTTATCTAATAAATTTTAATAGAGGGATATTTTTAAATTTTCTTTTTTATTTGATCAACCATTTAAATGAACAGCTCAAATTAGATTAGGAAATTAGTTTTAAAGGTCCAAAAGAATTTGTGCAGCTTTCTTACTTTATTCCAAAAAATTTATATTATCACTTTATTTAGTCAAAATATCTTATTCTTTAACATTATTCTGTTAATATTATTATACTATATTTTCTTTTTTCAATTTTATTCATTTCATTTTCATTCTTCTTCTTTTTTTGTTTTTTTAGGATATTCTTTTGCTATTATATGCTTATTTTTAATATTTTTTATAGATTTTTAATTTAATTATTTTGCTACCATCAATATATATATAT